ATTTGAACGTTATCACCCACCCTGCCCCGAGAGGATGGGAGGGAATAACTTTTATTATGTTCTTTAAAAATATTGAACAGGTATTTTTTATTTCTCAATCCAATGATCATTTCTGGAGAATTGCGGAAAATATAATTTTTTGCGATTACAGCGCCATCCATCACGAATCAAAAAAAGTTTTGACAAAATTTACGTATTTTGTGGCGTAGAATCCGTATCTGCAATAAAAAATGGGAGTTTCCATTTAAGATTTCAAAGTTGCCCCCAACCCCCACCCCCAGGGGGTGGGGTGGGAAGTCGAGTTTGGTATCATTGGATGTCCCCCTTTGAGACTAACAACTTTCATTAACCACTTTTTTTATCCAATGCATAGTTCTCGAGATATTTCAATGTCTTCAGATAAATCGTGCACCCTGTATATAATAATTTATACGCGTATAATATATTAACACGTTTCCAATATTTATTATCTTATACAGGAACTTAATACTTCGCCTGTAATAAAATTGTATATCTGAGGTATATAGTCATCGACAAGTTTCAAAGTCTGCAAAAAACAGTAAATACTATATAATAATAATATATAATATATAAGTGAATATTATAATCCGTAATCTTTGAATCTGCATCTGCTTCTGTATAATCAATTGCAGTAGTAAACATTACATTTGTTTATTATTATCTAAAAATAAATACAACTCATTAATTATATTATAAAGATTCAATTTGTTTTAGGGTAATATAAATAAAATGTACTAACATCAAAGCTGAATCTGTATCATTCAAAGGATCAGATATATCCAATCCATTACTTGCATTTATTCCTATTTTCTCAGTCATTACATCTATTATTTCGACAACCTTATCGTGTGAAATATTGTAACATGCTTTAGCCTTAGAGAAATTTTTGTAATTATTAGTATCTGATATACAGTAACTAATGCATTTAAAACTTCGTTCTGTATGCCAGATCCAGGAATTACTCTGTAAGGATAAGATTGTAAGTTAATTACATACAAATAATATTAATGAATAAGCGCATAAAACCTATTTCAACTAAAAATATGTTAAAAGTTAAGTATAAAACTTTATAATAAAAAAAATTATACTTACTTGATCGTCTTGTTTTCGGTGAGAATGTGAATATCCTCCATCGGTGGCAGATATCGCAGATACAAACTATATTATCTGTTATACAAGCAATTGGAAAATTGCCCAGATATAGCGCATGAAGAGGAAGAAGGGGCCGACGACCTTATTGAAATATATTTTTTTATCTTTTATTTATTCTTAATATTCTTTCATATAATTAGTTTTTGTAATTTGAATGTATTACAACTTTCATTTATATTACTTTAATCCGTAAACTTTGAATCTGCATCTGCTTCTGTATAATCAATTGCAGTAGTAAACATAACATTTCTTGTATTATTATCTAAAAATATATATAATTCATTAATTATATTATAAAGATTATTATATTTGTTTTAGTGCAATATAAATAAAATATACTAACATATCAAAGCTGAATCTGTATCATTCAAAGGATCGTCAGATATATCCAATCCATTTGCATTTATTCCTATTTTCTCAGTCATAACATCTGTTGTTTCGACAACCTTATCGTGTGAAATATTGTTACATGCTTTAGCCTTAGAGAAATTTTTATAATTATTAGTCTGATATACAGTAATTAATGCATTTAAAACTTCGTTTTGTATGCCAGATTCAGGAATTAATCTATAAGAATAAGATTATATTAATTACATACAAATAATATTAATGAATAAACGCATAAAACCTATTTGGACAAAAATATATCAAAAGTTAAGTTTAAAACTTTATATTAAAAAAAATTATACTTACTTGATCATCTCGTTTTTGATGAGAATGTGAAAATGTGAATATCCTCCATCGGTGGCAGATATCGCAGATACAAACTATATTATCTGTTATACAAGCAATTGGAAAATTGCCCAGATATAGCGCATGAAGAGGAAGAAGGGGCCGACGACTTTATTGAAATATATTTTTTTATCTTTTATTTATTCTTAATATTCTTTCATATAATTAGTTTTTGTAATTTGAATGTATTACAACTTTCATTTATATTACTGTAATATTTAACCTTTGAAAAGATGAATCTGCATCTGCTTCTGTATAATCAATTGTAGTAGTAAACATTACATTTCTTGTATTATAAAATATACTAACATATCAAAGTTGAATCTGTATCATTCAAAGGATCGTCAGATATATATCCAATCCATTATTTGCATTTATTCTTATTTTCTCAGTCATAACATTTGTTGTTTCGACAACCTTATCGTGTGAAATATTGTGACATGCTTTAACCTTAGAGAAATTTTTGTAATTATCTGATATACAGTAACTAATGCATTTAAAACTTCGTTCTATATGCCAGATCCAGGGATTACTCTATCTATTAATGACATACAAATAATATTAATGAATAAACACATAAAACCTATTTGAACTAAAAATATATGAAAATTTAAGTTTAAAACTTTATATTAAAAGAATTATACTTACTTGATCGTCTCGTTTTGGATGAGAATGCGAATATCCTCCATCGGTGGCAGATATTTGGCATTGTTCAACAACAAATGAAATGGTTCTCTTATACCAAATATCTTAGTGATCAATCAATAAAAATTTAACAGATCCGACGCACATCGTGAAAAAACTTGGACAAGTCAACTTTCAGTCGAAAATGTGAGCGCAGCATTCTATCATCATGATATCTTTGAGGTTAGGAAGCTTCAAAACCGAAATGCGCGATTGTCAAACCTTCGCTGTCGCTCATTGCTCGATGTAAACTACCAACGTTGCGATCACGTTGCTCGTGTTCGACTCGAATTCACGTGCTGTATAATATAATATATATAAAATAAATAAACTAGCAATATTTTATTTTTATTTCACCTCTTGTTCTACCAACCCGATATTCTTCTCTCTCTTATTCCCTATCGCTTGCTCACTCGCACTCGCTGCTCTTTACTTCTTCAGCGCGCCTCTGGTATCGGAAAAACGAGAAGTACAAATCCCCTCTCCTCGGCGGTCTATTCTTCTCTCTCTTATTCTCTATCGCTTGCTCACTCGCACTCGCTGCTCTTTGCATCTTCAGCGCGCTCGTAACGCCTCTGGTGTCGGAAAAACGAGAAGCACAAATCCCCTCTCCTCGGCGGTCTAGCGTTTCTTTCTTATACTTTCTTACTGAATCGTAATTTCTGTGATTCAGACTTTAATCTTAAAATATCTCCACTTAGAGACAACATACACAAAAAGCACAAGAACACTTTTCTTCCTATTTTTTAAGGCTGAATCGATTGGGACTAAAAAACGTCGATTAGTTCAGTCATTCCTGAGATATGAATATCTCACCTCGTTTCAACTCGCAGTTTCGTGTAATAATATGCACAGTGTACCTCGCGCCATTCGGGCGCAACGAAGTTGCGCTTGAACTTGGTGCGAGGCACTACCGTGCCTCTTGATCAATGTGTCAACGCATATACAATGTATATCTATAGTAATAACGAATACGGGGGAAGCGGAAGCAGAAAAGAATGTTTTAAAATGAATATGTCATATTTCTATACATTCTATGATATTCTTTTCGAAGGGTGAATTTCTTTAGAGTACGTACGTATAAAGTTATTCCAACAATCGCTATTTTTGTCTGTGCCAGGCTTTTCTATTAATTAAATATATCCATTTTGTATCTTCTTCGCTAGTTCATCTTTTGTAAAAGAAGACATTTTTATGTTATACCGGGTGTTTCAAATCACTCGGGTCACCCGATTTTTTCATTAATGCGACATTTTAGAGAAAAATATTTCAGACAAAAGTTATAGGGCTTCAAAGGATCTATTTACTGACACTATAAATTTGACCCTTTTTTTTTTTTTTTTTTTTGACGAGGAGGAAATCCATCATGGATACCCTGACCCTCGGGGAAGGGCCAGGGTTATGCCGGACTCCTACCGGCTAAAACCTCCCCGGGTGGCGCTGCGAAGGGACTTAGGTCGGGGCCCCGGTGCCGCGTAACTGCTAATCGGGGCCCCGAGTCCAGGTTTGCACCTTCTGTCCCTGAGGGGCGGGGCGGGGGAGGGGGGAAGCCGACCCGAGGGTCCGCTTCGACCGCCGCTCCCCCAGGGGAAGGGGGAAGCCGGCCCGAGGGCCCGCTTCGACCACCGTTCCCCTTTCCCACCCCTCACGCCTCGTCTCTTCGGTCGGGAAGGGGGCAGCCGGCCGAGGCCCGCTTCACCACCGTTCTCGACCAGACGAGGCGCCGCCAATACACACGTTGTGTGGCTGACTGACCCACCGTATCAGCCAGCCACCCTACCTTGGGAGGGCTGATTGGGGCACCGGGAGTCCCCGCCCGGTGCCCCACCCTCCCGCCCGGCGGTTGCGGGGAGATATACTCCCCTAGCCGCCGGGCTCTCCCCACCTCCGCGGAGGAATGGGGCGGGGGGTCCTAGTGACACCCCTCCCGCATATCCGAACTACATTTCGGATTTGCGGTTAGGGGGGGAGGGGCATTTTCGACGGCTTGTCTCCATCGATACCCTCTCCCCCCCTTATTATTATCCGACGCCCTTTTTCGGGCCAGTCGGTGGTCTGTGGGTGTAGGGCCTTGGCCTCAGCCTTGCCCTCCACCCACTACCTTCTCCCGTTGCTGCCCTTGGAGGGGCAGCAGGGGGCGGCGGTGGTGGCGCCACAGCCACCCCTACTGCAGGGGGGGCGGTCAGCATCGCTGCCGCCACCATTAGAGGGGCGAGTCGGTGAAGTACCACCACCGCCACCCTTCCGTCTCCGACTCCTCTCTGGCCTCCGCGGGGGGCACCGTGTCCCCTACGGGGTCCCCGCCTTGCTGGTGCATGAGGGGGAGCAGGAGGGGGAGGGGGGGAGGAGGAGGTGGTGGACCCACCATCCTCCTAAGTTCATCCTCCTCTGACGAATCAGCATCCCCCTCCCTACTCCTGCTCCTCCCCGCTCTCCACTGGCGGTGCCTCTCTCTCCGCCTCCTTTTTCTCCCCCGGCCCTCTGCCCTTCTCTGCATCTCTTCCGCCTCCTCCTTCTGCGTCATGACTGATTCGCAGAAGGAGGAGAATGCATCCCATCTCATCTCGCTCCCGAGGACCGCCCCGACTATCTTCGGGAGCGAGAGGTCCTGGCCCAAGGCCCGGACCATGACTCCGCGCTCGGCACTCCAGGCGGGGCAGTCCTGGTGTGTATGTTGCGCGGAGTCATGGTCATGTCCGCAATGGTGGCAGGAAGTTGTGCGTTCCTTCCCGATGCGGCACAGGTACTCACCGAAGCAGCCATGCCCGGTGAGCACCTGTGCCATCCTGAATGTCAGGGTTCCGCGTGCCCTTCCTACCCACTCCTGCAGGAAGGGCCGGACGGCCTCGACGGTCCTCCTCCCGTACCTGGCGTTGGCCAGGAGCCTTTGCCATCTCTCGAGGAGGACCCGCCGAGTCTGGTGCTTCATCTCACGTATTGCCCTGGCGAGCGGTTCACCGTCCCCCCCTGTACGGATGAGCTCACGCTTCCTGTCGTACATTCTCTTGTACGACAGGGCCATGAGCTCCAGGGGGGGCATGCTCGCCAGGACCGTCGCCGCCACGCAGGACACGGTGCGGTAGCACCGCGCTACCCTGACCGCCAGCACCCTCTGCACTCTGCGCAATTGCGCCTGCATCGGGCGACTGGCGGCCAGGGCTTCCGCCCAGATTGGCGCACCGTATAGCGCCACCGAATTTAAAATTCCTGCGTGGAGGCGACGAGCCTTCCCGTCTGGTCCCCCGACGTTGGACATGAGCCTGCCCAACCGGGCGGATACTACCCTTAGTCGGGGGACCAGTCTATTTACGTGTTCTCTGAAGCACCAGGTGCCGTCCAATTTGAGGCCCAGATAGTTCATCTGGGCCTCCAGCGGAACCCTGACTACGCCAACCCGCACCCAGGCTTGGGGTGGCTTCCTTCCCTTTTGATGAAAGAATATTGCTTCCGTTTTTCTTTCAGCCACCACCAAGCCCAGGTTGCGGATGGCACGCACAACTCCTGCCACCGCAATGTTTGCCGTGTTCACGGCATCCCCCCAGTCGTTCCCCCCGGCCAGTATCAAAGTATCGTCTGCGTAACAGACAATACTGCAGCCGGGGGGGAGGAGGGTGCCCTAGGAGGGTGGGATCTCTCAGGACGCGGTAGCGTACCCCGACCCCGACCTCGGAAACGTCCGAGCGGCCCGGAGTACCCCTCCGCATCTCAGGCACCACGGGGGAGGAGGATCCCCATGGGGTGGAGCCCTGGATGCGGGTACGTCCCTCCGCCCCGGTCTAACCGTAACGGTCCAACCGAGGCGGGAGGAAAGGGTTCTCTCTCTTCGGCTGCCGGCTAACACCGGCGTGCAATGCCTCGGAGAGAGAGGTCCCCTTCCTGGAGCGAGTGTGGAGGAGGTCATCCCTGTCGGCTGCCGGAGCACCGGCGTGCAATGCCTTCAGGGATGATGATCTCCTCCCACCCGCTCTGTGACCGTGCTGGTCATGGACCAGGCTGGTCACTCAGCCCGGTCGGGTGTTCTTGGTCCAGTCCCTCCGTACAGACCACTCCGGCATGGTAGAACCTGCCAGGGGCCGAAACCCCCGCCGGCACAGCTCTGTACATCATCGGGACCTTCAAGCCTCCCCACCACGTCAAGGTGGCACCCACGGGGAGGCTATAAATTTGACCCTGGAATAACCCTGAAAAGTCCAGTCAAGATTAACATAAAAATCTTAAACGAATACCCCAATTTTTTATGACATTATCTTTTTCTAGCAATTAATTTGAACAACTTTTGTCTGAAACATTTAATTATTTACCTAATATTTTTTGAGATATTTCAAGGATAACTTAATAACTTTTTCTCATATTTAGCTCACGATATTTCGCTAACTATTTGTCAGAAGAAAAAGTGGTACTAGACTTTTTTGCTCTATTTAGTCTCAAGAATATATTGTTCCAATAGTGCCCTGAATTTGGTTAATTTGATGATTTTGAAATTTCCAATGTCCCGGAGCATGACTCTCGAGACTGCGCCTTATGAGCGGGATCGGGCGAGAGTGAAAGCGCGGTTTGCTCGCCTCTAGTAACATGATGTGACCTGATCAGTAGAAGATACGCATGATTATGTCCGGTGTGCGAAAGAAGAACAATGGCGGCGGGAAACGCGGCGGCGGTGGCGGCGGCGGCATAGCGTCCACTCTCAGTGGTGCACTGACTCGCTCGATAACGTCTTCATCGTCCGACACCTCGGCGACGATGGCATTGAGCAGAAAATCGTTATCATCGGAGCGAAATGGTGCTAAATGGCGATACACCAATACCGTGATTACTTCATGTACGTGCGCACTATTGAACGAGGCACGCCTCCGCCCGCTGTTGTTTTTCTCTCTGTACGCGGAGAAAAAATCCATCTAGAGATCGAAGCCAACGAGTTTGGTGCGTTCGATAAAAATGTGTTCGATGACACGTTCCTTCGCGCATTGCACACGTCCTTTCGCATCAACAGTCGCGTCTCTCAATACTATCGCCGTATATACATGGCGCATATGGTACTATTCGCTGCGTGTGATACACGTGAGTACGATTACGATCAGGCGACTAACTCGGTTGTCGGGTGACTTAATAGACTGATTTGATTAATGGACCCCACCTGTTTTTTTTTTATTTCAGTTTTGCGGGACAACGACCGAAAGTTGATGGTACTAGTTTCGCCCGAACTGCGCACTCTGCTACGCTTGCCAACGTCGCTAAGTGTGATGCTGCATTCCAATTCGCGCGTCGCGTTTCACTAGTTGTAACGCAGTTTGCGACGGATCTAACTCGTTACGTGCATAATGGAAAACTGGTCTGCTCATTGCGAGCTCAAAACAACGCTCGGGTATTCGCTTCCGGTCAGCGTGGGTCAAGGTGCGTTATTTGACGAATTCTGGTCGCTCGATTGTAATCTCGAGTCTTTCGTACATCGCAAATCGCGAATCGGAGCATCAACGTGGCGACTCGGTACGATATCCATAATATCGTATCGAGACCGTCGTCCAACTGACTCCACGCCTCAAGCGCCTGACAGATTATCGACTCTGCGATCGCTCACTCGTTGCAACGATCAGGATCGACTGATCTCTCAGCTCAAAATTCCATTGGCATACAGTAGATATGCAAGATACGAACGGGCTCACGATCGTGCGAAGCGTCAATTGACATACGAGGATAATGCGCGCTATCCGTTGATTCTTCGCGACACACTGAACGCGGAGCTTCGAATGCCGTTACGCTACGAAAAAGCGCTCACCGATCTCGAGGACGACACGAGCGACTCGAATCTCGGCCTGTGTTTCGAACACCGGTTCTCTTTCTTTGCACTAGCGTGCGCCCATTGCTCCGACGCGAAAACGATTCGTGACAACGACGACAATCTTCCGCGCGAAGCATGTAACCAATGTGTCTCCCCGTTATCGCCGCGTACCGTGCGTGCATCTTTGCGCGCTCGTCTCAACAAATATCACGAGGCATCGTACCATCTGGATCTGGAATGCGAAACATCTCTAACGAGCGCCATCGACACTCCCAGGGAGAGATTCGTTCGTCACAACGCTATCGTGGCGGTGCACAGAGCATTGGTGCTTCCATGGCTACGTAAACACTGGCCCGACGGACTGCTGTTCGACGGCCTGCGCTCCGTGCCGCTGAAAGAAGCGCTTGACGAACTGTCGATGACTCGCGCCGTTACAGGACCGAATTGTATAACGAGAACCAACATGATGCAGGAACTGGCGAGTCACATCGTGCACCATGCCGAATCGTCGCTCGTTGCCAAACTCAAGTACGACGGCGAGCGCGCTTTTGGTGTCTTGATAAACGGCGCTTTGCGACTCGATGGACGCGAAATTCGTCACTGGCCATTTACGTGCACAACGACGATAGAAGCCGCAACTCCTTCAGAGGAAGAACGTCGCGATACACCCGTATTATCCGGACAATATGTGTACCAAATTGAAACTATGCGAAACGGAAATACACATTATGCCGATGTTATCACAGAGATTGCATGCATTGTAGATCACGAAGAGTTGCTTCGTACTCAAGGCAACGGTGCGCTCGTGCGTCAAGTCGAGTGTACCGAATACGCTGAAGGAGCTGAACAGCGCAACCCGCTGACAGCGTACGCGGTAACACCCGAAAATCGCGAAACCATCAACGAATGGGCATTTATTGCGGAAGCACTCGTTCAGTGTGGATCATTGGAGAATCTCGACGCTTTTGTCTCATGTGGAGATATTCTTCGCGAAACCTATGTATCGAACGACACGACTGATGGACTGCAAGCTGCAATCGTGACGCTGCGTTACGATTCGTCAAATAACAACAATCATCGTCACATGAACATGATTCTGCGTCGCGATGCACTGGACCTGTACAAATGATGTCAATTGAGCGTCGCCGCAACAACGAACAACGAACAGCCGGTGAACGGTGATGAATCGCTTCGAAATCAAATGACTCGACTCTCTAACCTCCGTCGAGCTGTCGCGATGTCCGTGTTCGACACGTGCCTCGAGAATAAAATGACTTTGTCGCGTCGTGACTATCTCAGTCGAGTTATCATTCCGGTCGATTTGATATACTCGAATGCCATATTGCGTGATGCGTACGAAATGTGGCAAATGCGCGGCTACACGTCCGCTACCACTGATAACGACGTCGCCACTATCTTGTTGATTAGTTGACCCTTTCAACTACCCTACGAGATTGCACGGCTGCTGAACGAATATGAATCTCCGCGCGCAAATATTTCGACCGATGGCATTCTGATAAATGCGCAAGCGCATCACAGTCATCTTTTGTCATGGTGTTTCACATGCGCCAACACGTACGAAAAGATAAAATTGCGGCAGAGCGTCGAGCTGATCGTATCGTGGGACTTGAACGAATTGCGCTCTCGCGAAATCGTATTGGCCGTGCGACGACACGCCACATCAAACGCTGTCGCGACGGATGGTTCGAGCATCACAACTTTGCAATACACGGTTCAATCTCGTCGACTGATCACCGCGTGGCAACAACAAAGCTTGTTACTCATTGTAGAAGATGTCTCGGAGATGATGACTCTCGATACTGCACTGCGAGCGGTGCCATTGATCGATTGGCCGAATTCTCGAATACGTCGCGCTCGGAACGGTACGTTTCGTTCGATAAAGACGAAGCCGATTCAACAAACAAAGTCATATTGGTCTTGGCGAATATAAAATTTCCAATATGTGCCGAACGCCAAAGTTTGTCCAGGCGTCAGAAGCAACCACCGCTATCTCATGTAAGAACAAAAGAACAAATAAACTTGCAATAATATGACATCCTTGACTAAGTTTGTCCGTTAGTCCCTGTCCTCTGCGTGTAGAACGAAATAAAAGGTTTTGCAGATTCGCGCAAAACAACGTGACGCGTAGTTTTTTTGACTAAACCCTTTGAAACGACGGCGGTCGTATCAATGACTGACATCATAGCTCTCGTAGCTACTGTCGTTGCGCGCCGTTGCTCTCTTTCATTCTCATACGCACGATAAACCAAACGAAACACAGTTCGCTTTTGTGTTCGCCCAAGCGAGAATTTTGCACAATTACCACCAAGATGTGCAAGATCGCATCCTGTTCCATGGTCGTCGCGCAGCTAGTCGAGTGAGTGACTTCAGAACTGCTCCGTATTATAGGTTAGGTTCCAACATACACTTTTCGCATCGCATCGCGTTCGCTCGCGCGACGTTCGATCGAGTCGAGTCCACCGAACGAAGCGCGAGATCGCGCAAAAAACCACCCGTTCTACATATGTTACGGAAATTACCGGAGTACAGAGCAGTAGCCCCTGGTCCTATTGTACCTCTGACTG